CACAAGCAGTCGGATGTGATGCGATTCCTCCTACGGCTGAGGTGTTGGCAATACAGACAGCTTAATGTCATCCATCGGTGTCCCCGTCCGACCCGCACAGAGAAGGCCAGACGTCTTGGATATCGAGCCAAACAGGGATTCGTTGTCTACAGAGTCCGCATCAGACGCGGTGGCCGTAAGAAGCAGGTGCCCAAAGGTAGGACCCATTCCGAGCCAGTTGGCTATCACTGTCATGTGTCCATTGATGCTGATTGTCGTGTTTGTTGTGTTTGCGACCATTAGGTGCCACTTATGGTAAGCCTAAGAACCACGGCGTGAATGAACTGAAGCCGCGCCGCAACCATCAGGCGATCGCCGAAGAGCGGGTCGGCCGACGAGTGGCTAAAGCGCTGCGAGTGTTGGGCTCGTATTGGGTGACACAGGACTCGTGCTTCAAATACTTCGAGGTATGGATTGTGGTGTCCATGTCTTGGGATCTATTGTCGTGACTAACGGTATTGACGTTTAGGTGATTTGTATCGATCCGTTCCACAAAGCGATCCGAAGAGACCCGAAAGTGAATTGGATTTGTGCGCCGACACAGAAGCACCGGGAGCTTAGAGGCCTGACCAGCGCTGGTAAGAAACATAGGGGTCTGAGAGGACGCGGACACGGCTATAGCAAAGTGATCGGTGGCTCACGTCGTGCTAATTGGCGCCGAAGACAGACATTACAGTTGCGCCGAAAGCGATAATCAATTGATCACTTGTTTGAGACTCTGATTCGTAACTGTATTTCAAAACCAGAAATTAATAATAAAATTAACTTTCACTTTGATTTAGTCATTGCTTTTACTTTTCATTTAATGCATTGGGATTACAGTTATATTACCGTATGTTTTAATGCCTAATCTCGAGGTAATAATAATTCAATGAAATGTCGTTAGAAATGACAGTCATTTAAATTTGGGCTCAATTTGTAAAACAGTTTGTGTTGAATTAATACAATTGTTTGCATTTAATTGATACAAAGTCGTGAGTATTATCTGAAGAGATGTTTAATTGGTTAACGGGTAGCGATAACGCAGACAATAACAGCAATAATAATAATAACAATCAGAATAACAACAGAAGAAACTCATCGGCGGTTCCGGCGACACAAGTGGTGAAGAGGAAGACGACGAAGACTGGAATGACTGCCAGTAAACAGAAGAATAAGAGACTGAAGACCAGGAAAGAGATCGAGAAAATGAAGTCAAAACTTCCGAAAGACTTCCAAATGATCTCTGAGGGCACGTTCGCAGAGATGTCCAAAATCACGGATCAAGTGTTTCTGACCGGCATTTTCGGGCTCTCGAGAGAGAACTTCTCTAACAATAACATAACGAACGTTATTAACGCCACATACGAGGCGCCGGACATCGACATCAAAGGCATATCGTATATGAGAGTATTAGCCGACGACGACCTCGAGGAAGACCTGACGCCATACTTGAACCCCGTGGCCGACAATATCGAGCGTATGGCCAGAGAGGGTCGCAATACTGTGGTGCATTGCGTGGCCGGTGTCTCCCGATCGACGGCACTGGTGTTGGCATATCTCATGAAGTATAAGGATATGTCACTGAAACAGGCCTTCAGACACGTGTTCGACAGACGCAAAGTCGTCAAACCGATCAAAGGTTTCTATAAACAGCTGATCGCCTACGAGAAGAAGATTCGCGGAAACAATAGCTGCCAACTCATCACTTATAAGAGCCACAAATACGGCGTGTCTGTAGTGGTGCCCGACTTCTACCCCAAACACTACCCGCAGCTCTTGAATCTGGAACTGGAGTTAGAGAGACAGAGACAGTCGGACAGTATGGCTAACGTTAGCTCCAAAATGGAGAGCTCGGCGTGTCTGTAGTGGTGCCCGACTTCTACCCCAAACACTACCCGCAGCTCTTGAATCTGGAACTGGAGTTAGAGAGACAGAGACAGTCGGACAGTATGGCTAACGTTAGCTCCAAAATGGAGAGCAATATTAGTTCTTATATCGACGAAAGTGACTCCCAATAGGTCCAGTAGTGTCCGGGTCTCACAATACCACCACAGCACTCATCACTGTCTTATAAAACATTTTTAAAACTAAATTTTCAGTTCATTTTGTTTTAATTGAATTAAAAAACAATTCAAATATTTGTGTTTAGTTTGATATTTGCTATCATTTTGTACTCTATTTACAAAAAAAACAACTCATTATTAACTTTAATTAAATATAAAAACTAATTCATATAAGAATTGTATGAAATAATGCTAATTAAGAGCGAAAAATCTTTTGAGTGATTGAATCATATTTAGGTAAACCATCGGTGGGTCCGACGGCCGCCAATACAGGACTCCTCCCGATAATGTATTTCTTGCAAACCCTTCGCACGATATCTGCGTTGACGGCCTCTATTCGGGCCTCCATTTCGGGCAGAGGTATGCGTCGCCCGTAACACAACATTTGGCGGCCGA